CTTTTATGTTTGAAGCATGAGAAAAACTGGGGATAACAGGAACATATCTGAATATCATAAAGGCTATCTATGCTAAGCCCCAGGCCAACATCATTCTAAATGGAGAAAAATTGGAGGCATGCCCTCTAAAAACTGGAACAAGACAGGGATGCCCTCTTTTACCACTTCAATTTAACATAATTCTTGAAACACTGGCCAGAGCAATTAGGCAGACAAAAGAACTTAAGTCTATACACATAGGGGGAAAAACTCAAATTGGCACTATTTGCTGATGATATAATTCTATATCTGGAAGACCTTAAAAGTTCCACCAGAAAACTTGTAGAACTAGTGAATGAATTCAGCAAAGTAGCAGGGTATAAAAATCATTACCTATAAATCAAAGGAATTTCTGTATATCAGTGGCAAATCCTCAGAAAGGGAAATGAGAAAAACTACCTCATTATCAATAGCCTCAAAAAAAAAAAAAACACTTGGGAATCAACTTAATGAAAGAGATGAAAGATCTTTATAATGAAAATTACAGAAACCTAAAGAAAGAAATCAAAGAAGACCTTAGAAGATGGAAAGATCTACCTTGCTCTTGGATTGGCAGAATTAATATTATGAAAATGACCATACTACCAAAAGCACTATACAAATTTAATGCAATTCCAATCAAAATACCAATGGCATTCCTCATAGAAAAAAGAAAAGCAATCATGAAATTCATCTGAAAAAATGAGACCCAGAATAGCTAAAGTATTCCTCAGCAGGAAGAATGAAGCAGGTGGCATCACTATACCAGACCTTAAACTATACTACAGAGCAATAGTAACAAAAACAGCATGATATTGACACCAAAACAGACTGGTAGACCAATGGTACGGAACAGAGGACACAGAGACTAACCCACAAAACTACAGGTATCTTATATTAGACAAAGGTGCGAAGAACATGCATTGGAGAAAGATAGCCTATTCAACAAATGATGCTGGGAAAATTGGAAATACACATGCAACAAAATAAAATTAAACCCCTATCTCTCACCATGCACAAAACTCAACTCAAAATGGATCAAGGACTTGGAATACTACCAGAGACCCTGTGTCTATAGAAGAGAAAGTAGGCCCTAATCTCCATCATGTGGGATTAGGCCCCAACTTCCTTAATAAGACTCCTATGGTGCAAGAATTAAAATCAAGAATCGATAAATGGGATGGGCTCAAACTAACAAGTTTCTTATCAGCGAAAGAAACAATCTTTGAGGTGAATACAGAGCCTACATCTTGGGAGCAAATATTTACCTCTCACACATCTGATAGAGTACTAATCTCTAGGGTATATAAAGAACTCAAAAAGCTAAACACCAAAAAGACAAATAACCCAATCAATAAATGGGCCAGGGTTCTGAAGAGACACTTCTCAGAAGATGATGTACAATCAATCAATAAATATGTGATCTTTGGGGTAAAAATGGGAGTTCATAACCAACTTGAATCTAATATATGAAACATGATATGTCAAGAGCTTTGTAATGTTTTGAACAATCAATAAAAAACAAACAAAAAAAACAAAATACAAATATGTGATCTTAAATTTAAAAGTAAAAAAACTTCCTGTTTCTCCCTAACTCCAAAATTTGTATGACATAACTTTTAGTTTGCAATCACCATTACTCTTAGCAATATAAAGCAACTCTCATGACTCATAAGAGATTTCTCTATTTAGATTTAGAAAACCAAAGTTCAAACCTGCATTAAAATTTTATAGTTAAATTTTATTAGGGAAGTTTGTTGATCCCACTGATAATAATCATAAATCAATAAAAATATGGAAATGATAATTGACCATTTTAATAATCAGACAAACAACAATATATGGAATATTGCCAATATTTAATGTAATGATCTATAGGTAAATGAATCATGGTTTTAGATTGAGTAATCATTTGCATGAACAGAAACATACCTATTCAGTAGTAAAATAGTTTGAAAATTTACTTCTGAAGCTAGGAACTGTTATCATGACTCCACATTTTCAGAAAGACTTAGAAAAATTAATTTGTGCAATATGATATAATTTGTTACTTATGTACTAGAGTCTCTACTTGGATATATGCAATGTGAGATCTCAGAACCTAAGATCTTAACTTATATACATTTTTGCCTTCATCTTAAGTGAAAATTAGAAGTAAAAGTGAAGAAATGAACTGTCCAGTCTGACCTAGCCACTTGGGTTAGTTTTTCAGTTCTACCAGCTATCCAGTACTCAGCAAGACAGCATTTCTGAAAAGGAAGAAAGGTTGGCGAATCTCTCTCAACATCTGCAGTCTGTCCAAGTCCGGAATAGGAAGCTTGCAGAAACCCTACAGCATGTGGCTGAAAAACTCTGTCGTGAGCTTTATAACAAAAGTGGAGGTAAGCAGGTCTTCATCACTCTGGCCCCAGGACATTATCTGTCAATCTAAGTTGAATTTCTTATTAACATAACTGGGAACCAGTACTATTTAATTAGTTTTCTGGAAAACTTGATAAGAAATTTGGCTTGCAAGACCATGATCAGTTTAGGGGGTCATGCAGTCCATACATGTTTGTGTTACTGTGTATGAAAGAATTCTTCAAATGCAACACTTAAAACAATAACAAAGCAATTAGTTTGGAATAGTCAACGTAACATTGCAAGTAAATAAAACAGGGAAATGTTTCAATTTACCTTGTCCCATAATTGAAAAATCATCCCTATTATAAGTCAATAAACTCATAATTTAAGAATCATTGAAGGATCAGATAAAGAAGGCATATAACCTGAATCAAATCTGTTATTTTAATTCCATATGATTTGACTGATACCGAAAAAACTGTACATTTTAAGAAGTACCCTAGGAGACATCAATGTCAATGATAGGTGTACCACAGTTGTATAAATAAAAATAGTATTGGAGAAGTCAGTGAGGGTGTGTGTGTGTGTGTGTGTGTGAGAGAGAGAGAGAGAGAGAGAGAAAGAGAGAGTGGGGGGGAAGAGGGAGAGAGAGAGAGGGGGGGAGACTATTTCCTGTCCTATTTGTATTTCATTATCCATTTTATTCAAGTCAGTTCTCTCTTCTGCTCTTTTTGTTTGAATTTTTAAATTTATTTTTTATTCTAATTTGTTATATATGACAGCAGAATGCATTACAATTTGTATTATACATGTAGAGCACAATTTTTCATATCTCTGGTTTTATACAAAGTATATTCACACCATTTGTGTCTTCATACAGGTACTTAGGGTAATGATGTCCATTTCATTCCATCTTTTCTATCCCCATGCCCCCTTCCTTCCTGTCCCACCCCTTTGCCCTAGCTAGAGTTTGTCTAATCCTCCCATATTCCCCCTCCCAAACCCACTATGAATCACCTTCCTTATATCAGAGAAAACATTCAGCATTTGTTTTTTTGGAATTGGCTAACTTCACTTGACATTATATTCTTTAACTCCATCCATTTATCTGCAAGTCCCATGATTATTCCCTTTTATTGATGAGTAATATTCCATTGTGTATATATAACACATTTTTTTAATCCATTCATCTACTTAAGGGCATCTAGGTCAGTTCCACAATTTAGCTATTGTGAATTGTGCTGCTATAAACATTGATGTGGCTGTGTCCCTGTAGTATGCCCTGACTTCCTTAATAAGACTCCTATAGTGCAAGAATTAAAATCAAGAATCAATAAATGGGATGGATTCAAACTAAAAAGCCTCTTCTCAGCAAAAGAAACAATCAGGGAGGTAAAGATAGAGCCTACAGAATGGAAGCAAATTTTTACCACAAGCACATCAGATAGAGCACTAATCTCTAGGGTACATAAAGAACTCAAAAAGCGAAACACCAAAAGAACAAATAACCTAGGATGTGGGGGGGAAAGGCACACTCATACACTGCTGGTCGAACTGCAAACTGGTGCAGCCAATATAGAAAGCAGTATGGAGATTCCTTGGAAAATTGGGAGTGGAATTACCATTTGACTCAGCTACCCACTCCTTGGTCTATATCTTCTGCTCTCTTTAACATATATACCTAAGAAGAAATATGTATTATGAATTCTTCAGTTTTTATTTATCTTTTGGGAACTCTAAAACAGGACAAAATCTCAGACTTCCAGACATACACTACTTCACACCCTAAGCAGACAACTTGATTATTTAATCACCCAATAATATGAATAAGCATAAACAAATAATATGAGTAGGCATACTTCCACTTCTCTAAATGATTTTTATTCACATGAATACTGATTTCACTGGTCATGTTATTCTTTCTTATTTTTCTAACAGCCCAGTAGGCATACTTCTCTTTGTTCGGTGCCCTATCTCAGCAAAAAGAGAATCCAGGTTTCTCTATAATTTTTATCTAGCTATATTAAAAAAAATAAAAAGAAAAGATAGGCAAATAAACCACATTTAGTTTAAATATAAAATTGACATCCCAAAGTTAGGAACTAGGAATAAATGCTGTCTTGAGAGTTGAATATATGAAAAATAAAGTTTGGGTCTGGACCACCTATATAAACTTGCATTTCTGGGTCCAAGTCCAGGAAAAATAAAGGAGAAACAAAAATAAAAAGGACTATAAGGAAAAAAAAATTGATAAGACTATGTTTGATGATATATTTTTAGGTTTTTATAAAACTAATTGTCCTTCCTAAGAATATTAGCCTTGGTAATATATATATTACCAAGGTATGCAAGAAATCTTATAACTAGAAAGGGGAGTAAGATATTAATATACTGTATCAACTGTATATCAACTGTAGCAGCTTCACTGCTCATGAACAATGGTAAATTTTTATTACTTTATTTCACAATACACACACACACATACACACATAATTTATAGATGAGGAGAGTTCACAGAAATCACACATGTTCATCTTAGGAATCCAATGGTGTTTGTAATTTCCCTAGTCATACAGCCATGAACAAAACAGTTGAAAACAATCCATGTTCAGTACACACATTAATTTCTCTCTGAAAATGTGCATTTTCTCCTTAAATATATTTTCTTTCTTTCTTTCTTTCTTTCTTTCTTTCTTTCTTTC